CAGGTACGCAGCTTAATTGCGTGTTCGCCGAAAAACGCTCTCATCTTTATTTGATGATAAGTCATGGGTGCGTGCATACTCAGCGCCTTTAATAAATTATGCTGGGAAGCAGGCACATCTAGACGTATACACACACGTACACTGCTGCAGTAACGAACGCCTTGTAGTCTCGTAGATTACCGTGACCCTTAATACACAATATAGCCAAACTATATACAAGATATAGCCAAGCCAGAAGTGCATGAACGCCAACGCTATACTCTATTTACGTACGTCTGGTACAACTATATCAGGAGTGAATAATAATAGAGAAAATAAATAATAAATAATAAATAAAAATAAGGAAAATAATGAAAATAATGAAAAATAATGAAAATAATGAAAATTATGAAAATTATGAAAAAGAATTAATAAAAATCTATTATTATTCACTCCTGACTATATCAATTTACATCTATTATAACACAATGTACAACTATAACGTACAATAATCAAATCGAATCTTTTAAATCGATCACACCAAGTGTAGAATGACCAATATGTCATCGATGATGGCACAGTGTGTTTCTTGTAGTCTGTGATCTTTTCTATGGAGGGTTATTTTCCTGCTGTTTCGATGGATTAAACGTCCTTACAAATGGACATTTTCTGACGATATGACGATACCCAAACGAGCTAAGGAAAGGAAACCACACCTACTGAAAGATTTGAAATGTTTTTAGATAAGTGAACTGTGTCTACGCACCATAATTGTGCTAGTCTCATGCACCCCAGCGCCCCCTACCCAGCGCCCCAACTCTAAGAGAAGTAGTACTTTCTAAACTATTAAAACGTCATCGTGGATAGCATAATTATGTACAGGGTGTTTTCATCAAACCTTTCGGATCTTTATGTCTAGGAAGTTATTTTTACTATTGTTTTCTATGAATTGGATGATGGGACGAATGTCGCGGATATTTCAGAAGATATGACGTCACCGGCGAAGCAAAGTCCACTGAAAGATTTGTTGAGATGAGCCAACGGTGACTACGAAATTTGTGTCACCCCACGTTATGACTTATAGAATCGCCTGTAACCCATCCAGCTCTCCCAAATCATACAGAATAAAACATACATAATAATTTAATGATACTACCACATAACCTCCACTACCACGTAACCCTACCTTATACTCCCTCGCTGACACTACCACAATGGGACCACCTTCTTCCTAGATAACCCTTCGCTCTCCCCTTATCTCCGTTAAAAGAATTTCCTCTCACAGAAATTTTTCAAACAATTTCCTTAGAGGAAATTCCTCTCACGTCTTCGGTAAGTACGTCTGAGGGGGTAACACTGAATCACAGAGCTTCGTTGTATCGATAGACGAACGCACGGACGCAGGAGCTGACGCACGTACAGCAGCAGCGGCAGTGATGCATACATGCATGCCCGTAGATCACTGCATAGCCGAGAGCGAGAGAGAGAGAGAGAGAGAGAGAGAGAGAGAGAGAGAGAGAGAGAGAGAGAGAGA